CTAGATTACCTCTGAATTCTAACAGTGATGGACATCCTTATAGTTGCTTGTGTAGAAAATTTATTGTGTGATACATCCCCAGAAATGGAATTGCTGCTTCATAGAGTATAGTCATACTTAGGCTTTGAGCTTAATTTTCTAGAAATCTTGCACCAGGTTCTGTTGCCACAGGCAATGCATTGTGTATCTTAAACTTAAGCTTATTTAAAATGTACTCTAGCACTGTTGAAATATTAACTTCATTTTGTTTCTGCTTACTCCACACCCATAAGTAATATAGGAAAGACATTGTTCATCCCCACCACCTAGGAGGTCTGGAGGGCTTTGATTTCTAAGGCCTGGATTTTTCTTAAGGTCTAAGAAAGAGTATATTTAAAAAAAAAAAAAGAAAGAAAGAAAGAAAAAAGAAACAAGCAATGGTAGTTCAGAATCTACAATTAAGCAAGTAGCTGAGGAAGAAGAGAAATTTTTAGGTCTTTTCTGCTTTTCATCAGTGGGGTCATGAAACTTTCTTCCAAGTCAGAAAGCAAAAGAAAAGATTCTACCTAACATCTTCTAGTTGGTTCAACATAGGATTCTGAGTTAAAAAGCTACTATCCACAATAAATGTCATGGCATTGCTAATTTATTTAAGTGAAGAATCCTCATCTGTGATTTCCCATCCTTGCTTAGCCAGCTATACTGTGCCTGAAGCAGAGAGCATGCTGGTAGTCACTAGACTATTACTAATAGTAGTGGGTTTAGCTCATTAAAATGATTTTAGAGCTTTTCAGTACAATAAACATGCCATGATGTTGCTATTTCTACATTTATTTCTTTGGGATATCAACTAAAAAGGCTAGATTAGATTATATATTAAGTGACTGCAGCTAAGCCAATGTGAAGAACCGTGCCCTCCTAAGCTTCTGCTACATTCTAAATAGGTGGGAAATGATGGAATTCTTTAGTCAGTCAGGTTGTGTTCTCCAAAGGGAAGATACTTATCCACTCTGAGTCTTGAATTTCTTGTCCGTAGAGCAGTAATGCATATGCTATAGAATTACTGTTAATAATTAGAGGCAACGTATATCTAACACACAACGTATTTGAGAAGTGATTGATAAATGATATGTTAATATAGCTCTCAGAAGATTGAAATAAATAAAATCTCTAAGTAAAACACAAAATAGGGCTGGGGATGTGGCTCAGTGGTTGAGTGCCTCTGCCCCTGGGTTCAATACTCCAAAAAAGTTAATAAGATAAAAATAAAACCTAGATGTAAGCAGACACTCAATTTATCTTAAATCAGTGTTGTCAAATAGAACTTTTTACAACACTAGCAATGTTCTATATCTACAGTAGTTATTGCACATCTAGCTATTGACTTTTAACTACTTGACATAGGAAATGAATTTCTATTATTTTATTTTAAATTTAAATTAAGTTCAAATTGAAATTTAAACAGCTACATATACCTAATGGCTACTGTAATAAATAGCAGTTCTAACCACTAATAGAATGCATAATTATTATGTTGATAAATATTTAACATATTAAATATATTACATATGAATATTTTATTACATTATTTGATTCATTCATCAAAGGAGGAGAAAAGCAACACAGAACAAATGAGAAAAAAAAACCAGATACTATAGTGATCAGTCTATACTCAAATATATCAGAATGATGTTAATTACAAAAAAGAATTTAGAAAAATAAGGATTATCAGACTGAAAAAGGAAACAAGAACTCAATGCTGCTTAGAATCACTACACATTTAACTCTGGAAATTCTTTAAATACTGCCTCTCCTCTGCACTCTCTTTTATCATCCTCTAGAATACTCAAATATTAGATATATGTTCAACCCATTCAGCCCACCTCTATGTCTCAACATTTTTGCTCTATTTTTCCATTTCTTTATATTTTTGTTAGTTATTTATCCATATTTTCTATGTGGCTGTAGGGTATGAGAAGCTTTGATTCCGCCCACCAAGCTCCCAGAACTACCCTATGATCTCTACACCATGCTTCCTCCTTTTTCTGCCTCCACTCCTATTTGTTCAGGTCTGTTTGCCCATGCTGCCTTGGATCTAAAGGCCTCATTATCATACACAAAATTTCCAATAATATGTATTATTTTTAATAGGCTTTCTAAAGTTCTGTGAAGCCAGGGAGGTAAGAGAATCTCATTGTAGTATGTATTGCCATATGCATCTTGTTTGCACCAACCATCATCTTCATTCTTCTCAACAAGACTCCTTCATTCTCTGATTTTTCCAAAAGCCCATGTGCTCAGATGTCTCCTTCCTGAGCATGCACAGGAAGGCTGGTTCTCTTCGTTGAAAGATGACCTCACTAGCCCAAAGCAGATCTATTTTCCTACTCCATGGAAATTCTACGGGAATGATATTTTCTTGTCTCTTTAGACTCTCATCAAGCATGCAGAAGAGGACAGAGGCAAGACTAAACAAAACCACATTACCAAAGTTTTTTTTTATTTAGAAAATTGCAGTTAATCCATAAAAAAACTAAGAATCTACAGATTTAAGAATTGTTTTGACATTCATACACACAGACACACACACACACACACACACACACACACACACACACACACACTACATAATGTGTCTATTAGATCAACAAATATTTATTAAGCACTTAATAAGCAATATTCTAGCTTATAGGAGTATAATTAGAAACAAAATACTTAACTTCATTTAATTGCCTCCCTTTCCTCCTAAACTATAAATTTTAGGAGGACAGAGCTGTATTTTGTTTATTTTAGGAGGACAGAGCTGTATTTTGTTTATTCATTTTGTTTATTAAACAAAAAACTTAGCTCTGTGCTGGTACTTAATATTTGTTGACTGAAATGACAGATCATATTAATACACATAGGAATGATGTTACAAGATAATAGCCTAAAGAGAGGCTGGGTATGTAGCTCAGCAGTAGACTACATACTTTGCATGTATGGGACCCTGAGTTCAATCTCCAGTACCAGAAATTTAAAACAAAACAAAATAACACCTAAAGGGTAAATCATAGGAAATTGTTCCTTCATACAGCATCTATTAAAAAATAATAAGACACAAATCCCTCTCCTGCTAGTTTACTCATGTGGACAACTTTTTCTATGGGCAAGATCCTAATAACCCCTATACACTTATTTCTTTCACTTTCTCTCCATCACTCTCTTCTCCTGTGTTTCCTTGCCTGCTATGATGATTTAGATATGAGGTGTCCCCAAAAGCTCATGTGAGACAAGGCAAGGATGTTCAGAGGTGAAATGGTTATATTATAAAAGATATAACCTAATTAGTGGATTAATCCACTGATGTGGATTAATGAAGTTAATAATTGTAGGTAGGCTGGGTGTGCATAGAGGAGATAGGTCACTGGGGGTATGCTTTGGGGATTTAAATTTTGTCCCTGGTGAGAGAACTCTGTCTGTCTCTAATTCCTGGTTTCCATGTCTTAAACTGCCTTCCTCTGCCACGCCCTTCTGCCTGATGTTCTGCCTCAACTCAGGCCCAGGGCAATGGAGTCTGCTGACTGTGGACTGAAGCTCTGAAACCATGAGCCAAAATAAACTTTTCTTCCTTTATATTACTGTTGTCAGGTCTTTTTAGTCACAGTGACTAAAGCTGATTAAAATACCTGCTCATCCTGGACCTTATGGCTACCTTTCTGAAATACTCTCTTGGTAATATAACCAGGACATTAGACAATCATGATAAAAGTCATGGCTTAGTTTTTCATATCTGGTTCATAACTATTTCAGTATCACTCTGAGTTTGTTCACTCAGCTATAACAAAATAACATAAACTGGTGGTTTATGAACAATTCATATTATTTTCTTACAGATCTGAAGACAGAAGATCCAAGATCAAGGTACTGGCAGATTCTGTTTAGTGAGCGCATACTTCCTGGTTCACAGACAGCATCTTCTCACTGTGTCCTCACATGTTGGAACAACTCCGGCCTCTTCAATTTCTTAGAAGAGTATTAATCCCATCCATGAAGGTTTCCCCCTTCATGACCTAACCTCCTTCCAAAGGCCTCTCACTTCATAATATCACCACATTGGGGACTAAAGAGTCAACATATAAATTTTGGGAGATGCTACATTCAATCTATAGCATCTCAACTCATTACTATATTGTGCAAATTAGATGATTATTTCATATGGTTCAATGTAGTAGTCTTTTTAAGCTTCTTTTTCCCCATCTGTAATTTATGATCACATAAAAGATTGTTGTGAAGATGAAATAAAGTGATACATGCAAAGCACTCAGTCCTGTTTAACACATAAGTGCTCGATAAATGCAAGTCTTTTATAAAACTCACCAAATTCTACTTACTTACAAAATACATATGGAATTTATGTCTTTATTTCATCACTATTTACTTATTCACTCTCTTAGCATAATAACTACATGTTCCAGGTACTAAGATAGACGTTGGAAATGCAATGATGAAGTATACGTGACTTCTGCTCCAATGGTACTTTCAGGACAGAGGAAAAGGAAGACTGCTGAATAGCTATTTAAATGGAAGTAGTAAAAGGTAATGACTCTAAGGCTTTGCTCTGGTTAGTGAGAGAATATATTTTCCATGTCCCATCTCTTTTCTCCAGGGTCCTGGATAAGGAAACAAATGATAAATTCAGAGATAACAGCGAATTGCTGGAGAAATTCTTGCCACACTGATTTATCTAAACTACCTATGTGCCTTTGTCACTTGCTATCTAAACCACTCTACAGCTCTTAGTTGCCTTCAGGGTAAACACCTTAAAGTGACAGATTTCCCACCTCTTTCTTAGTACTCTTTTTCTCTCTCATTTTATGTTTTAACAAAACTGCACTATTTGTATTTCTCTAAACATGTCATGCTTCTTTATGTCTCTATGTTTTCTCATGCAGCCCATGAAATGTCCTTCACCCTCTGCCTTGGCAACTCCTCACACAACTGCAATTCTGTGGCTGCAAAGGAAAGAAAACTCAGACTAGTTTGAAAGAAAAGAATATTTTATTATAAGGATCCTGGGAAGTCTCACAAAAATAGAACAACAAAATGGCTGCACACCCACTACAGGTAAAAGCAGAACGTAATTTCTGGGAGATGCAGGGAGGATGCACTCCCTTCACAGTCATCTCTGCTTCTCTCCAGTTTCAGTATAACTCACATGGTTGTTGTTATTGATTTTCCTGTATCAAATGGCAAAAACAAAGCAGTTGATAGTTTTCAAGCTTCTCTGAGTCCCATGTTGCAAAATCCTAGGGAGGGATAATGATTAGATAATGATTTATCCTCTTACAAGGAAAATCAAGGGACTGAAATAATTCTAAGCCTTCTTGTTACATTGCTACTTTCTCTTAGAAGTAATTATTAAAGGTAAGATAATCTATATAACTGGTTTGAATGTACATAACATTTACAATCAATTCATACAACATTACAGAGAAAAGATGTGAAAGCACATAAATAAGTTTCCACTATGCTTACAAACTTTTCAACCCAGCTCAGTTGATGGACAGTGGGTTTACTAAAACTCTAATTCAATAATGAAAACATTCCCTGACTTCCCTAAAAGTACAGGAAAGGGTAGTGCCAAGAAATGTATTAAATAAGTGGGGAAAATAATCAAAATACACAACAGAATGAGGAAAAAGTCAGTGAAAATGAGGAAAACAATGTTCTGTTCTCCCTCTGCTGGCACCTAGGCAGCATAGCTCTTCAACGTTTTGCCCAAAGAATCAAAGGACATTTTTTCATGAAATTCCGGAAATATTGGGAATTATTCACAGTATTCATCTGAATAAGACCCACCAAAGCCAAAGTTTCCCCACTAAAGCCATCAGTACTTTCTCTCCCTGTCACTAATTATGACTGATATAGAAAATAGAAAAGATAGATCACATAGAAACTAATGGCTTAACTGATTTTCCAAGGCAGCAGTTCAAAAGAAGATATAACACTATATATTACACATGTACTATATTATATAATATAATCCCCACAAGTTGAGATGAAGTCTGACAGAACAGCAGAATACTATCTCTTGAGTTAGAAGCCCTGAATGTGAGCCTGGACTCCTCCTTTTTCTTACTGTTTGTATAACCCTTATATATATGGTTGTCACTTACACATATTGGTTGTATAATTTTGCCATTTCTGGAATCAAGTTTCATCAACCTCTAAATGAAGGTGCTGTGGAACAGAACTGTTGGCTCCATTTCTAGTTCTAATATTTTATAATTCTAAGTGCTGTTGAATTACAAATTTTAATGTTTTATTTATGCTTTTTCTTTATACCATTTGGGTCATTCTAAGACATAAGCAAAATGGTTGAAACCTTTCCTGTAGACATCCACTTCCTTCCTTGATAGAATGCCAAACATACTGTGGACACCCAGATGAATCTTAATTGATACAATAATGATTATTATGGCAATGAAAGGCCCTGGGATTTTAATTTGAGCCAAATTCTCTCCTGGTTATATGGCTAGTATTTTGAGTAGCAGATGTGAGCAGATCTGTATTTCCTTCCCCACGCCACCCCCACAACAGTCTGAAATCTTCACTTTAAACGAGAAAAATCAGAAGCTTAAAATGCAGTTTCAATCTGTCCTACTATCCAATCATCAGTTAAGTTCCCTATGTCATATTTCTTTAAATCAACTGACTATTAAATATTGTTGTCAGGAAAGAGGGGACAAGATGGGTGAGGGGGAAGTCAGGAGTTAACAGGCTCAAAGAACAACTCTACTTTTTAGCTCAATATGATCTTTTAAGATTGAAACAGCATGTCATGAATGAGAGACATGTGTGAGCTGATCACCCAGTGTTACATAATTGGACATAATTGGAGGTCCATAAATGGTAGCAAGAATAATTATAGCTACAAGTTATCAACTGCTTACTATGTGCCAAGCACTATGCCAAACCCTTTATACCTATCTTCATGTATGTTACTTTTACACCCATATACAAAAGCACACACTAATCTATTCCACACAAAAATCCTACAGGGTAGATGTGATTACCTTTATTTTACAAAGGAGAATTTGAAGCCTATAGAATTACAGTAATTTCCCTAGGTTATACCACTAACTAGTAGCAAAACAGATTTGAATCAGGCAGTCTGATTCTGGAGCTCACTTAGAGTCTTCTTTGTGTCACCAAATTGGAAAATGAAGCAACTTGGCTTTAGAAAACAATTAATTCTGTACTCTCTAGAATAACTAAAATGAAAACCAACAATAGCAACTGATGATCCCAAGGGTTTGTGAACATGCTTAGGAATGTAAACTAGTGCTGGAAAGTGTATGAATTTGGAAAACTCTTGGAAAAAATATAACTTTGGAAAACTCTTTGTCAGTATCTAATCAAACAGAACATACATATTTCCTATGATTCAAGAGTTCTACAGCCACTATATACCGGATCAGAAGTATGAATTTATGTGTACCAAAAAACAGAATGTTCATAGAAACATTGTTTGCAAAAGCTCCAAATTGAAAGAACCCTATGTCTATCAACCGTAAAATGAACAGAATAAAATTTTAGCATCTTCATGTAAAAGAAATACAATTGGCAACACCAAAGGACTATTACTATATACAACATGGATGAATGTCACATTGTATTGAGCACAAGTAGACATAGTAGACTACACATGGCACAATTCCAAATTCAAAGTTCAAAAAACTCCCAAAACTAATCTATGGTGAAAGAAGTGAGAATAGTAGTTTACCTTTGACAACATGTGTTAAAAACTGAGGTGCAGTGCAATTGAGGATTCTAGAATATTAGTAATTCTTTTCTGGGGGGAAGGGGGATATTAGGGATTAAACTCAGGGGCACTTGACCACTTGGTCACATTCCCAGCCCTATATTGTATTTTATTTAGAGACAAGGTCTCACTGAGTTGCTTAGCACCTCCTTTTTGCTGAGGCTGCCTTTGAACTCGGGATCCTCCTGCCTCAGCCTCTAGAGCTTCTGGGATTACAGGTGTGTACCAATGCACCCAGATAGAATATTAGTAATTTTTGACATAGGAAATACATATATGAAAATTCATTAAGTAGACTTAAATACTTCTCTGTGGTGTATTAAAATTTAATATGAAAGTTTACAAAAAGAAAATAATTACTAAAAATTCATCCTCCTTCATTTCTCACATCACCCTTCAAAGTATCACACTATCACAACCCAAAGTTGGGCCCCTCTGCATGTTAATATTTCAAGTCTCCTATTTCTTGGTTCATTTCCACATCTATAAGCATCTTTCATGAGAAACTAAAACTTGTCACAGCTGATATCCTAAACTCCAGTTCTATTCTCTAACCACAACTATTTACTCCTCCAATTTAATCAATTTTTTTCACCTCTTTACCTTCTGTTTTGAGAGTTCCAGATCTTTTCATTCTCATAGTCATCAGAATTCTGTCTTGTTTGTTTGCAAAGATTTATCACTTCAACCATTCCATTCACTTAACTAATAATGCTAGGCTCTGGCAATATAAACAGACATTATCTTCTCTTGAAGAATTCTTGTCATGGAGTGATTTCCATGGTAAACCCTAAAACTCTTTGTTCGCTTGTCCTTCTTATGCATTTGACTGATAGTTCCTCTACCTTGAATTAATCCAGTTGTCTGCCTTCACTGGTAACACCCAAAAAACACCCACATGCTAGAAGAGAAATTGAAATTTGTATATGTATTTGCATATTTATGGTCTCTAACTTCATATAGTCTCCAAATTCTGTTCTTATAATATGCCCATAGTTGCCTATCTATTTTTCCTTTTAGCTAAAATCTCTCATTTTATTTACTTGCAAATGTAAACAAATTACTTCTATCAGCAGTGCCCATTAGTACTGCTGAAGTACTGGTAACTTGGTCCATAGTGCCAACAACTTTGCCACCAATAGAAATCACAAATTCTTTATAATATATTAGAGTTGTTACAAATATTTTGGTACTCTTCAAAATATTTACAGTCATTGCTACTTTGAAATTTAGGTAATTATTAGATTTACTAGATCAAGCTATTTTTTGCATTAATATAAGCACAGCAGCATTTTAAAAACATATCTATGAATTTTTTTTAACACTTCTCCCATCAAGAGAATAGAGGCTGGGCTGGGGCTGTGGCTCAAGCGGTAGCACACTTACCTGGCATGCATGCGGCTGGGTTCAATCCTCAGCACCACATACAAACAAAGATGTTGTGTCCGCCGAAAACTAAAAAAAAAAAAATAAATATTTTTTAAAAAAAGTTCTCTCTCTCTCTAAAAAAAAAAAAAAAAGAGAGAGAGAGAGAGAGAGAGAGAATGAGAATAGAGGCTATGCCCCTTCCCCCTATGAATCTGGGCCAAGATGAATGAATCTCATATTAACCAATAGAATGTAGAGAAAGTGACACTACATGACTCCAGATGTTGTCTTACAGGCTAAAGCAAATTTCACCCTGACTGCCAGCACTGGAAGCACTGAGCCATCCTGTAAGAATCCAACCACCCTGTATATGTGAGAAATTGATGTGACTCCATTTTTGAAAACCCAGCTTCTACCTCAAGGTCTGTCCAAAGGGAGGGGGCGTGGCCCTTTTCTTTGGAAAAACCCACAGAGCACTCCTAGGCACATAGCCACCCTGCTGAGTTGTTTGTTTGCAAATAACAGGAGAGATCTATAGCACCAGGTGTCCTGGATTCAGTAGGCTAGGTGAGGATCCATTGCAACCCCTTAGCAACCACCAATCAGCATGAGACAGAGAAAATACCTGGGATGCCGGATGACCCCCCAGTAGTTTTGGTGGTTGATAACATGTTAGGAAACCATGTAGTTTAGCACGTACACCCCTCACAGATTAAACCAATCAGTTCAAACGAATCCTCCTCTTGTACTAACCAATCACCCCTACCCAACTTGTTCTGGCCAGTGAATGTGCTAATCAATGCTAAGAGTTGTTATTTGATTTCCCCAAGGTATGAAATGATTTGCTGTGTGATGTTGTGACGCATAGAGTATCCCCCAAAAACCTATAAATCCTCACTGAACTAAGTTAGGTCAGGACTCACTCCTTGGGACAGCTGCGTCGGAAACAGTTGTGAGTCCAGGCTCGAGCTTGCAATAAAGACTCTTGTATGATTGCATTGGATTCGGCTCCTGGAGGTCTATTGGGGTCCCAAGAATCTGGCATTACAGACGCCAGGTGGTAAAGAAGACCAATCTAGCAGAAGCAGCAAGACCACATGGAGAATGGGGGTTGGGATTAGGGACAGAGACAGACACACCAACCAGGCCAGGCTCTGGCTATTATTTTTATTGTAGAACTAACAAATACTAACTAACAATTACAAGGTCTCTCTTCTCCAGTTGATGGGAACACAAACTGTTTCCATCCCTGTCATAAGTACCAGAAATTGTTTGGTCTATTGCTTTAGGGGCTTTTTACTTCAGCCACGTGGAATTTCATCCTTTTATTATGTAAATCAGTACTCAGCCAAAGATAGGAGGGAACACTTCTGCAGATGTCCAAGACTCTGTGACACCTCTTCCTCCCTGCTACTCTGCTCCTTGGTCTCCCTGAATTCCTATTTGTCTCTTTCATTCAGCTAAACCACTGGCCTCTATATGAATCCCGTCCCTTCTCTAATCACTCCCTGGACATTGCCTCCATGTGGTAAGCTAGGATGACTATAAACTCAACATTTGTTTCCCTTTGCTCAGGGATCACAATCCTACATAGCCTGGTGTCCAAGGTCTGAAAGCAATTATTTCTCATATTTTGTCCATGTTTCTAGTTGTTTCTAGTAAAAGAGCAATTCTATTGAAGGAAAAGTCCAAATGTAACTCTTAAATCTTAAAATTAAAAAAAAAACTTGAATTGTGTTGTTTGATCTTAAAATTCATATACAAAGATACAAAAAATAAAGTTCTTCATACTTAATATAGTAAAACTTCTTGAAAATGTTCTCTAACTTCTCATTCTTTAACTGGGTATATGCTGGCTTCTACCCTCATCTTCACTTCCTTGAAAAAACTGCTTTCACACCCTTTATGGCCACCATATTATTTTAGGTGAAAAATATATTTTATTATTTTTTTATTTCATTTCTTTGCAGTTCTTTTCAATTCTTTTTGATATAACTTTCTTCAGTTGTACTATCCAATATGGCAGCCACCAGCCACATGTGACTAATCCATACTGAGACATGCTGAAGATATAAAACATACTAGATTTCTAAGACTTAATACGAAAAAATATATAACATACATGATTAATTTCTACGTTAATCACATGTTAAAATGTTAATGTTTTAGACATTTGGGTTAAATAATGTTTCTATAATTAATTTCACCTGCTCCTTTTTTTAACCTTTTTAATATTGCTTTTAGTAAATTTGCAATTCCACTTGTGATTCACATTATACTTCTAATGACCAGTACAGCCCTACAGCAACCTTGTCTACTGCCAGAACTCTGAAATCCTCTCCTTTATTAGTTTGTGGGATTCTGCTCTTCCCTAGTTTTCCTGCTACCTTATTGCTCCTTCTCCAACTTCTTCTCTTAAGAGTAAATCCATTGCTGTGAAATTTAATTGTGCTTCAAAATAACTCAGGGTTACCTGCAAACAGGACTGATTCTTGGACCTTATATGCAGAAATTCTGATCTGACAGACTGGCCTGGGGGACTGTTATAGTTTAGACATGAAATGTGCTCCAAAAGCTTATGTGTGAGACAATGTGAGAAAGTTCAAAGGTAAAATGATTCAGTTATAAAAGCCTTCACCTAATCAGTGCATTAATCCACTTGAATGGATTAACAGGGGTGGGAACTATAGATAGGATGTGGTCACTGAAGGCACGCCTTTGGGGTATATATTTTGTCCCTGGTGAGTGGAGCTCTCTCAGCTTCCTGATTGCTAGGTCTTGCTGCTTTTCTCCTTCAAACCCATCCAACTTAATGTTCTGACCCACTTCAGGCCTAGAGCTATGAAGTTGATATTTATAGACTAGACCTACAAAACTGTGAGCGTCAAATAAACTTTTCCCCCTGTAAAACTGTTGTCAGGTCTTTGGGTCACAGTGTTGAAAAAGCTGACTAAAATAAGGACAGAGATTCTGATTCAGTAAAAGGAATGAAGGTGCAAAAACTTGGATTAATCTTCAGTCCTATTCTTTCTCATTTTACCCTATATATTCCTTGGTTAATTCATCTTCTTTATCCTACCTCATCCCCCAAAACAGAACTTCTATTACTCATAGACCAATATTTGCCAGATTCCTCTTATCTCCCGACGCTTCCTTCTGACTGCCAACTGCACATCTTCACTTGGATGTCTTAAATTTAGTATATCCAATAGTTAAGTCTTTATCTCTATTCTCCCTAACTCATTTCTCTTTTTGTCCTCCCAGTTACCCAAACCAGAATCCTAAAATCATCCTCTCCTTCCTAATATTGATATCTAATCAGTTACAAAATCCTACTAATTCTTTTTGGCTTAACTTCTATCTACTTCATGCCTGCTTAATTCCTTTAGTTTAGGGTTTCTCAACCTCAGAACTAAAGTATTGTTGTAGGGAGTTTATGTGGCATTGTGTGATGTCCAGCAGTTTCCCTGCTCTTACCCTCCTACATACTAGTAGCATCTCCCTGGTTAGTACAACCCAAAATGTCTCCAAATGTTACCAACTGTTGGGGGTAGGGAGTGGAGTGAAGGAAATCCCCTCTCGTCCTTAGAGCCACTACCTTAGTTAATTTAGTTCACTGAAGCTCTCATTATCAGTCATGTACATTAGGATGAAAGGATTCTATGCCTTGTCCAGGACTGCATCTCTCCCCCATTCTCCATACTCCTTACGGTTTTATAATGCCCATCAGGATAAAATCCAGTATCTATAATAAAGCATAAAAAGGGCATTGCCTTCTACTTGTCTCTCCAGCCATACTGAACTCTTCTGCAGTTTAATTAGGAATGTATGAAATTCATAAAAAGTGTTAACTGTAGACAGTAAGTAAGCTACTAGCTTATGAGATAAATGCAAAACTCCCAGGATGTTTTAAATATAGAATATGAGTAAGCATGTACTTTATGAAACATAGGCAGAGTTGTGTTAAATATGCATAGTAAGTTAGTAAACTATAAGGCATGCCAGAGTTAAAATACATAGAAAATATGATGGAACAGAGGGTCACTTATAGTCAAAGGGATGAAAAAAATAAGTTATGAATAATCATGACATCTCTAGACTGACAACTGTGTCACTCCTACATTGGCCACACATTGGTGAAACCCACAACAGTCTCATATGTTCTCTACCAAAGAAATGCAAACAAATGTTCAGCAGCCTAACTTGTAAGTTCTGGTTGTGGCCAGGCATACTTTCTACCCAAACAGCACATGCATGCCATCGGCCCAAAGCATTTTCCACCTGTGGGCCTCCTTGCTTGTTTTAGTCAGCTTTTTCGCTGCTGTCACTTAAGACCCGGCCAGCAAAACTGTAGAGGAGACAAGGTTTATTTGGAGGCTTACAGTTTTAGAGGTCTTAGTCCATAGAAGACCGGCTCCATTTCTCAGGGCTCAAGGTGAGACTGAACATCATGGTGGAAAAGTGTGGTAGAAGGAAGCAGTTCACATGATGATCAGAAAGCAGAGAAAGGAACTCCACTCTCCAGATACAAAATATATACTCCATAGCCATTCTCCTAATGAACCACTTCCTCCAGCCATACCCCACCTGCCTCCAGTTACTACTCAGTTAATCCATTTAGGGCTTTTTTCCCACTGATTAGCTTAAGGCTATAACCCAATCATTTCTTCTCCAAAACCTTCTTGCATTGTCTCACATGGTGAGCTTTTGGGGGACACCACATATAAACGATAACATTGCTGAAACCTCACTTCTGGCTCTTATGAGCATAGCTTCAATGGAAAAGGCAAAGATGGCAGACCGGTCATATGAACATTGCTTAACCATTGATTTAGATGGCTTCCATTAGCTTGTACCCTATCCTAACCATGTTAACTTACTACAATTCCTTCCTACTGTTTTCATTGGATACCTAAATTGATTCATTAAGCCATATCATTCACAAATCTTAATTTGGTCTCATGAGCCTGCTGTTTTACACCACTGGGTTAGCTATCCTAGTCTTCACCTAGAGGCCACCATTGCATCAAGTTCATTTCCCATATGACAAGTCAATTCAAGCATTAATCCCTTCCCCCCACAGAATGTCCTTGCATATTAGTATCTCCTATTTTATCCTGTTCATATCCCTATGCTTTTATTATAGCACTTATCAAATCACACTGTAATTAACAATTTATTCCTCACTCACTAATCTTTGAACTCCTTGGGAGCAGGAATACATTTTATTCATTTATAGTCAGTATTACTTACCAAAGTGCCAACCACAAAGTAACCAGCAAAAGAACTATCCAAATCAGTTAAGAGGATTACCCATGGTTTTTGCCTTTCTCCCATCCCCTAATTCTAAGATTGGTATAATACAGTCAGTGTCAAAATCCTGCTTAGCTGAGGAGGAGTATGAAAGATGAAAATGTTGGAAAGAACCATAAAATCACTTTAGAAAACAATTTACAGTAGATATATGAAATTACAAGCAAGCACGGGCATTGGTGGACCTTATTTGCCTGTCTCATGTCATTCACTTGCAGATTAAAATACAATAGTTTTTGTTTTTTGTTGACCTCTTGTGCCCACATCATTATGGTTAAAAGATCAAACCTTCAGTGGAAAAGACATTAAGCCTTATGCATGGGTGTCTGATAACTATCAAAAGAGACTCTGCTAAAGTAAGTTTGCCCTAATTTGTCTGATTTGACAGACATGCTTTTTTTTGGGGGGTGGGGGCGGAAATCCAGATCCTGAGATGTATACAGGCAAATAAAAACTATTAAAGATTACCTGCATAGCCTCACCTGACCATAACTGCTATTAGAACCTCTGGTAACTATACTTCTGCTCCTATTGCTCAGCCCTTGCCTTTTTAATCTTCTAATAGAGTTTGTATCTTCCAGAATTACAAGAATACTATGTTAGGAGGATGGCAACACAAGAATTCCAATTCATCCCACACTGAGACCAGTGTCTTTTTCTTTCAGATTAGTCAGGATGAGATCTTTGATCTCTAAGGAGGCAGGTTCATTACACATGCCCCCCCTAAAGCAATCACAGAAGATGGATCTTTCTCGCTCACCAACCCTTCAGATTAAGGGATCAATGTCTGGGGCTGCAGAGAATTAGGAATTTGGGATACAGAGATATATTGAGTTTAGAAGCACCCAATGTTCAAGTGCAGAGAAAACTGGCGTGAAATTATGCCGCTCCACCCTGCCTCTACCTCTAGCCCAGCCCCTAACTACCAGCCCTCTATAGATGTTAGTACCCCCACACCACTGGGTTGCTATCTGTCCCTCTAGAGAGAGCCAGCATGCTCTGCTTTCTTGAATGTGGATACCTTATTTTACCCCAAAGGCATCCCTCTTGAGATTGCCCCCATTCTCCCTTGAATATGTACCTACTTTCCTAAATAAACCTCCGTCTATGCCTTTGAAAAAGAAAGGGGGGGGGGAGAGAAGGGAGCATGGAGCACTAGGTGAATGCAGGTGAATAAAGTCCGATTTAAAAACTAATGAGCGCCTACTTGTGGCAGACAATAGAGATACACGGAGACGCTTTCTTCCCTTACAGAATTACTGGAGGTTAAATTTTACTCAAAATAATAGCTATTTCGTAGTTCATTATTTTTTTAAAAAAAATTAGAATATTTCGTTTGCCTGAAAGAAGCAAAATAAAATGTGTGACCTTAAATCAAAGGCTCGTTCTTGAGGTGCTTTTAACGCATTCACTCCCATCAGGGGTTAGGGGTATCTGAGAGCAAAAGTGTGGTATCGTGCACAGGCGGAGAGATTTGAAGGCAATTAAAATTAGCAGAACCTGTGTCTCGTAACAGTTGAACCCTAGAGATCGCCCAATTCCCTAACCGAGAGGAGACGGTAAATACCAGTCAGCGTCTGAAGCAACTATTGCCTTGCGTTGAGTCATTTGCCAATTCCGGCCACTGAGTCCCTTTCACTCCCGGAGGCGACCAGGCGGGGTTCCACTCTAGGCTTCTCTCGGGCCTCTCTTGATGGTGGCGCTGGGCCTCTCTAGCCGGCGCGCACCGTCTTCTCTGTGGTAGCGCGAGGACGACCTGGAAGGCGGGCTACCGAGTGAGGCCTTCCTGTATGCGGTGCTGCCGGTACCCCGCGGAAAACTCCAGCTAAGGTGGAAGGGAGCTGGGGGTGGCTCTGGAGGTGCGCGAACGTGGAGACCGGTCCCTAAGTGGGGAAGGAGCCCGAGGGCCTCCAGGTGTCTAAGGAGTTGGTAGCGGAGGCCCGCGCTGGTGAGGGGGTTTCCAGCTGCCGGCTGGGGTCTGTCCCAGCCTCCCATCCCGTGGTTCCCCCGAGCTCTACAGCAGCCTCCCGTCCTGTGGGTCCCCCCAGCTCTTCCCCGGGTTCATCTGCGACCCTTTGGGTAAAAGCCCAGCGCAGTTTCTGCCACTTGTGTCTCCTCTGCGACTGTCGCCTCTCTGGGGGAGGCCCGCAGCCCTCTAAGCTCTTAATTTAGGATCGAGCTACTTAGAATTTTTGTGGCCTCGAACCCTGTATGCAGTTTATGTCTTTCCTTGCTTGTATTTATTTTTAAATCAGAAATCTCTCACCCTTAACAGTTTGCTTGAAGCCAGAAACCAAGTAAAAAATTTTTTCTTTCCTCCTGGCACCATGAACTAGTAGGTGGTCATTGGACGTATCTGCTTATTTGAATCATTTTGATATAACCATTAACGAGAGGCATTTTGTATGGGACCCTTATAGGTTTAAGATGAGAATAATTGTAGGATCCTTGGACCTAGTCTCATTGATTTAAGGGAGATTCAGCCTTCCTGATTTGAGATTTCTGGGAGTTTCTGAACTCATTCTAAAGAGGTTGTTAAGTGTCTGTTAAGTCCCAGTGTTGTGCTAATTAGAGAAGCCACAACTCTGAAAAGGCCTCAGGGGATTTCTTGCCCTCACAGACCCAAATGTATAAAAGATTAACAAGTGACCAAAAAAAAAAAAAAAAAAGCATATGATATTGCTATGAAAAATGAAGTTCTTAAAGTTAATTTTTGATATTGGTTGATAGAGAAAATGACATCATCATGTTCTTGTCTCCCATCTGCAAGGTAGTAGAGAAAAAGTTTCAGTACAATGAAAGTGTTATGCAAACACAGGAAGGAAGCCTTTAACAATAGTATTTGAGTAAGGCTGCATGAGATAGAAGAGGCTGGTGATGTCTTGAAAGATAAATAATTATTGCATGGCGCAGAAAGTGCCAAAGATTTATAGTACCACATGTTATACACCAAGCCCTCATCTATTCATGGATCTATTTATCTATACTATAGCAGTACCACACAGTTTAAATTATAACAGCTTTATAGTAAATCAATATCTTGTTTTATTTCCCTTTTGAACCTTTGTTCTTCTGGGGTTTTTTTTGGGGGGGGTCTTTGCTTTTTGGGTTTATATTTTGACCTTTGGTCTTTCATATAGGTCAGCTAGCTTGCATCAGGTTATGGGTAGAAAAATATCTGATGGGATTTTGATTGGAAGAGCATTGAATTTATATATGGATTCTCAAAGAATATTTTACTATAGTCAAGCTTCCAATGATTCATAGCTTTATTTAGTTATATTGTCTTTTTTGTCTTTCAGTTTGGATAATTTTCTCCATAAAGATCTTGCGTATCTTTTGCAAGATTTATATATTTTGGAAGGTATTTTATAAGTGGTTTTGGTTTCCATCATCTCTACTAAATTCTCTTACTGGTTCTAATTGTTTGTTTGTTGAACTGCTTATATTTCCCGTGTAGATATTTGTGTCATCTTCAAATAATACTTCTTGTATCTTGCATTTTAATCCTTATACCTTTTAATATTGTCTTACATAGAAGCTGTGATAGCAGATATTATGTGTAGTTTTGATCTTACAAGGAATGCTTCTGATATCTGATGATTAAAGATAGTACTGTTTATTGTAGGATTCTGGTAGAATACCTCCCAATTCTTAATTTGCTGAGAGATTTTCTTTTTTTGAAACAAATACTGAATTTTATAAAAAAAAAAAAATTTTTTTTTCATTTTCCAGGTAAAATAGTTTACAAAACAAATCTGTCTTTAATGTTTTTTCTAGGGTAATCAGCATATGACCTACTAAAGAAAGATCTCTAGACAAAATAAAACAGGGAAAGTTTGCAAGAGTCAAGAATGATGGATCCATGTTCAGTTGGAGTACAGCTTCGTACCACAAATGAGTGCCATAAAACATACTATACTCGTCACACAGGTTTCAAGACTCTACAAGAATTATCATCAAATGATATGCTTTTACTTCAACTTAGAACTGGAATGACACTTTCTGGAAACAATACAATTTGCTTCCATCATGTAAAAATTTACATTGACAGATTTGAAGATTTGCAGAAGTCATGTTGTGATCCATTTAACATACACAAAAAGCTAGCCAAAAAAAATTTGCATGTAATTGACTTAGATGATGCCACTTTTCTGAGTGCAAAATTTGGAAGACAGCTTGTACCTGGTTGGAAACTTTGTCCAAAATGTACACAGATAATCAACGGAAGTGTGGATGTTGATTCTGAAGACCGCCAGAGAAGAAAACCTGAATCAGATGTATGTATAGTAATACTTTTTCTATCATGTGATGTGTTAGTCAGCTTTTTGTCACTGTGACCAAAATACCTGACAAGGATACCGTAGAGGAGAAAAAGTTAATTTTGGATTCATATTTTTAGAGGTTTAATCCATAGGAAGTTGAGTCCGTTGCTATGGACCCAAGATGAGGCAGAATGTCATGGTGGAAAGAGATGGCAGAAGAAAGCTACACCCCTCATGGCAGCCAGGAAGCAGAGAACAGGGTGGGGCTGCAGGAAAGATTGACCCTTCCAAGGCAAGCCCCTGTGACCTAACTTCTCCAGCTACTTCCCACTGTCTAAAGTCACCACTAGGATGAATTCATCATGTTATAGCTCTCATAATCTAATTATTTCACTTCTGGGCATTCCTGCATTAACACAGGAACTTTAAAAGGGACATCTTATAGCCAAACCATAGCATGTGACAAGTATATTAAGAATATGTCTCAAAATTTTTATTTACAGCCATTTTATAATTCTTGCTGCTAGAATTTTTGAATTTCCTCTTTTTCATTATGTTAATAAGACAAAAGATAACTAAATTTTTTAATTTTATGAATTATATGTATTGTTTTCCTTTTGTTCTAAGGCACATCTCTACAACCCATTTTACCTGCAGTTCATTATAGATACTTGTTGATAACTGTAACAGATGTCTTCATCTTATGTGTACATTGCTCTTGTGTTATTGTGTTATTCTTTTCCTAAATCCACTATCTTTATCATCCAAGAGTGATTCAGGGTAAATGCAAACATTTTGAAAGACCATTTACTTTCACCTCCTCAAATAACAAACATAAGCCCTTAGGCACCAAAATTTTGTTTTATCAAAGCTATTTAAAAATATCCATACTATTTCAGAACTTGAAACCATATTCTCATTTCTTAGTACTAGAAACTTTCCTAAGGACCCAAAGTTGTTATCAGGAAGCTCAGTTTTGTGCCATTGGGTTATAGCAGTTCTGCCTTTGTTCCCATGTACCAGCAGCCATTGCAGTTGTCACCATGCCAGCCCACCTCTACACCTAACTGCTGGAGACTAAAATCACATAATGGAAATGTTATTAATAAAAAAGTTTTAATATACTCAAGGATTAAGTAAATTTTCTTGCACTTGGGTCCTAATCTTTTTTCTGTGTTCCAGGTTAAGAAATAAATCTGGGTCAATACTAAGGGAAGTATTTATTTATTTTCTAATGACAAAATTTTAATGGATAATTTGCTTGTCTTTATTCAGGGAAGAACTGCTAAAGCTTTGAGGTCACTACAGTTTACAAACCCAGGAAAGCAAACTGAATTTGCTCCAGAAACTGGTAAAAGAGAAAAAAGAAGGCTTACCAAAAATGCAACTGCTGGTTCAGACAGGTATTCTATGCATTTACTCATATTCTAACTTACTGCTTCACATCTGCATTGTTCCTTTATTTTCTATTAAATTTTGAGTTTTCTGAGTAGACATTTTAAGTTGAATAATGTGGAATTGGTAAAAAACCTCCAAGGACCTTGGGGTTTATTCATAGAAAATTAAAGCATCCCTTTCAACTCTAAAAGTTTGTTTCCAAGAAAGTAACAGTGATGTGAAAAGGTAACATTTTGACATGAGGGTTAAGATATTGAAGCAGAATTAAAGTAATTCACTTTGTGAAAAGCCCTAATGATATTATCTTACTGGTATATCTCTCTCTATGAGTGACAGCTAAAAGGTAATTAAATTTTGAGAATGCAAGATTGCTTTTTATTTTTTACCTGTTTTTCATGGGGCTGAAATAGAAACAGTTCTGGTACAATGAACAGAAGGAATGGGAGAATTAAATTATTTAAAATATTATTTCACTATTTCTAAAATATAATCATTCAGAAATTTCACTGTTTCTAAAATATAAAATATAAATATTCAGAATTAAATGCAATTAATATTTTTGTGTATTCCATTTATTCCATTTTACATTGACTAATTACAATATAAAAACTTATAGGGTGGTATACTGTAATAAAAATTATGTTCACAAAGTAGTGAAGAGATTGATAACCAATAAAGTAAACCACTATTAACTAGCCATTACTTTTTCTTTAAAGGAAAATAATTTTAGAAATTTACATATGATCTGGACAAAGTTCTTGTCTGTTCCTTTGTTGAACTGACTTTTAAATGAACTTCAGGGAAATGGAGATATAGCTGAGTGGAAGAATGCTTGCCTAGTACACACAAGGTTCTAGATTCAATTCTTAGCACCTCCTCTCATTTACTGTTTGTAGAATTGGCTGTAAGCCTGGTAAATTACATACTACTTTAGCAGGACCTTATCCCTAATTCAAAATACTTAATGTCCTTAAATTTTTTTCATTATCCTATTTTCAGTTAAATATTCAAAAGTAATATATTCATGAGGTATAATTCATTACATTTTATTTTACAGACAAGTGATACCAGCGAAGAGTAAGGTCTATGATAGCCAAGGGCTCTTGATTTTCAGTGGGATGGACCTCTGTGACTGCCTGGATGAAGATTGCTTAGGATGTTTCTATGCTTGTCCTGCCTGTGGTTCTACCAAGTGTGGAGCTGAATGTCGCTGTGATCGCAAGTGGCTATATGAGCAAATAGAAATTGAAGGAGGAGAAATAATTCATAATAAACATGCAGGATAATTTGCAATATCAAACCACTGGAGTCTGTAAAGTTCCTCTATTTCTAAAATTCTGTTACTCTTAAGATACATTTTAAGCATGATGGTCAAATAACAAAAATTTGAAAACTACCAAAGTGTGTGTACGCTAATGTTTCATTTGGGTTTCTTTAAGTTCATTATTTGGTGTAAATTTATATGAGTTGTTTCTCAGTTTCACTTTTAAGCCTGTCTGGGTCAATGTTAAGAAGGGTGTGGGCAGTCCTCAGTTTGCATGGTTCCCATAGGCACAAATTTCAGTGACCATAATTTAGTTAAATAACACCAGCCTCCTAAAAGCATGGTTCACATTCAGTTAGGGTAGCATATCAGCTGTTCATCTTGTGAAGTATTAGCACCTCTGTCCAGAAATTATTAAGTAACAGGTGTGCTTTATAGTCAGTGACCAATTATGTTATCTTTTTTCAAATTCTGCTTGTGATTGGTCCTTGAATGTATGTATTTAGTTCATCTACAGCAAAGCATATAGTTACATTGTCATCACCCAGTGTGATATTTTATAAAAGTGGATAATCAAAAAAATTGGCCATCTAAGATTGAAAATGAAGCAAAGAAGTGAACAATAATAATGCTGAAAGTAATAATTTGAATGTAAGTGGAGTTTTAAAAAAATGTCACTGATTCTGGGTGTTTAGATACAGTTGCTGTACAGTGACTAGCTGAGTGTTGCTAAACAGACTTACCAACATAAGTGAGGAAAGCAGTTGTGATGGAGAAGTAATGGCAAAACTTTCACATTAAAGGATATTAATTGTTAACACAGGAGTAGGTCACAACATAGAAAGTACAAACAATAATAAATGGTGGAAGCTGATCCCAACTGAAAAGGTACATAAGTTGCTGTAGTATAGGAGATGCTGACTCAGCATTATAAGTTAGAGAAGGCAAACTGCTCAAACTACTCCTGATTAGTATTTTACAATAAAATAAAACTCTCACTCTCAATGTTTAGACTTTCATTTTTATATACATTTATAACTGGCAGTTGAGAGTGTGTAATACTCCTACAGGTTTTTAAAGGTCATAGAATAATCGTAATTTTCCTTATTGATCATTGGGATTGCTTTGCTTGGACATCTTTATAGTCTCATACCACCATGTAAATGAGGACTGCCTATAGCTGGAAACAATGCCTCCTTCAGAGAAAACTGATTTTGATACTACTGACACTATGAGCTATTTTGAAAATATTCTATATATCTAAGTACTAAAATATATTTATTTTCTCCCAACTTAAATAAAAATAAGTATTAGTACCATAAAACTTTCATTATTTATATGGTGTATTTGTGGGAGAAAAATATTCTTTATGATAAGACATGAATATACATAAACATACATTATATCTATTATTGAAATTGTATAAGATGACTGATGAGGATTAAGAGATCAAAAACTCTTAAGGGAATGATAATGACAAAAAGGAGAAATAGTGGTTAAAATAGGATATAAATAAGATTTTTTGGAAATAGATTGAACTGTGGTATGGAATTTGTGTGGGTGCTGCTCAGAGGATGGGACAATGATACTTCTGCACTTTGTTTTTTTTAAGACATTTACCCACCATTTTGTCTAAAGGCTCCTACCACCTAGAAAATTGTAAGCTGAGTTTTTGTTTTCTCCAAATATGATACCTCAGTTAATTGAATGAACTTTTGGCAATTTGAAATATTTTGTAGCTGTTGAAACTAAATTTCTATAGCCAGTTTAAATTGTCTACTGGAGTTTTGTTTGGTTTTTTTTAATGCTCTCTTAAATCACTGGTTTTACTTTGATGCAATGTCATTTTCTACTTTGAAATTAAATGTTATTATTTTTCTTTGACCTAATTATTAGTACAGTTGACTTGTCAACTCCTTATCTATGTTTGAACTGAGCACTGGCAAAAGGAATAATTTAACTTTATATATTTAAATCAGGTGTTAGATTGTTAACTTTTTCTGAATGAAGAAAATATTTTGTTATAGAGGATACAAACAGACTCCAATTAGGATCATTAGAACTTAGTTTTTTGTTTTGTTTTGTCTTTTGGAGGGATTTCTAAGTATAAGTTAGATTGTACATTGCTTAGACTCTTCAGAGAGAGATAATCTTGCACTTTCTCTTTGCTTCAAACAGGATATAGGGCTGGGATTGTTGCTCAGAGGTAGCGCTCTCACCTAGCATGCGTGAGACACACACAGTTCTATCCTCAGCACCACGTAAAATATAAAGATATTGTGTCCACCTATAACTAAAAAAAATGTTTTAAAAAATTATAAGGACTGGGGCTGTCGCTCAGTGGTAGAACACCTGCCTCACACATATCTGTGAGGCACTAGGTTCGGTCCTCAGCACCACATAAAAATAAAGATATTGGGAAAAAAATTATAAACAGAATATATCTCTGGAATAAATGACTAAGTTTTAAATGGCTATATTTCAGCATTCATTCAAATAGATCTATTACTTTTCAAAGACAGAAATGATTAAGTTTTTCAAAGGCAAGTTACTTGGAACAATTTTGCTAGTATTCTGCATTCCTACTTAGGCGCCCAGATAAAAGTTGTATTTTTTTTTTTTAATAACATCACAGGTTCACTTACTATTTTTAATCTAGATTACAAATATAGAATACAATGAAATCATCTAGATCCCTTTTATACTACAAAATGTTAAGCATTAAATTAGTATATATTCATCTAAAAAGCAAATAAAAGTTATATAAACTCTTATGCTTTATAAAGATTCTGTAGAGAATTTAATGTAAAGCCACTCAAACATTGGTCTTATAAAATGCTGGTCACAAATATTAAAGTAAAAGTGCTTGTATATATTTGAATAAAATGAACGTCATCCCTTGTGACCTTATTCCAACTTTTTACAATTACATGTAAGAATATAGCTATTAACCTTTGGGATATAATACATAGAATTTTTCTGTTTTTAAAATATGTCTAATTCTACATAACAAGCTGTTCTACAACTTGACACTCTCTTCTAAAAATGCTCTCTTGACCTAAGAGTCCAGCGAGTGATTTTGAATAAGTGAATTTTGACACCTACATAGTGATTTGTTAATAAAAATATATCTATACATTTAATAAGTTCTAGCATCATTCTTTACAGAAGTCACAGACCCATGGGAGAAGCTGATGAAGTGTATGGACTATCTCCGCAGGAAAAAATATTCATGTACTCACAAATTCTGTGTTCAGAATACCTGAACATGGAGTGTCTGGGTAGTATGAGATCTGATTTATTTGATTATATTTTAAGTGAAGTTGCCTGTCTAAAGTGTGGTTTGTTTTATTATATGGTGGTGATGTTTTAAATATAGTTCAGTCCTTAAAAAAGCTATTACTGTCCTGAAAAATTAGATCCCACTATGGCCTCTCACACCACCACCTACCCCACCTCCAGAAAGGTAATTACAAGTTGAGTTACAATGTAAAAAAAAGTGTCTTATCTGGACTGAACTTGGTTATTAGAGATTTCTACTTGCATTATGGTTACCCTACTACAAATAGGTTAATGTTTTTGTGTAAAACTCATGTAACACCTTAGTTTTTGCTGACATCTGCTGGTATCTTCATGAAAATGAACTCTCCACTGCAGCTACATCTGCTTTATCTCTTCACTTCTAAATTAAAACTATGAACACGTAATTATATAATCCTCTGCCGACATGAGTATCAAAACAAAATCCTAAAAATAGTTTGTAGCATTCTTAAGTCTTGCTTTGCAGCAGTCAACTATATTGGATTTTATTTTTATAAGAATATAAGGATACACAAATACACATGGGCAATTCTGGGTTTCTTTTTATAAAGAGGGGGTACTTGGAGAAATAATGCTTTTACCTTTTTTAGAAATCACCAAACACCATTGAACGCTTAGCTTGAAAGGTGAAATAAACTTCTGCACAGCATATGTCCCAACTTATAGATATTTTGTAATGATGTTGTATTGAAGCCAGATTTAAAGTTAGGTAGTCAGTGTAGTTAGTTAGGTAAATCAGGTCTAATATCGAGTAAGATCCAAAATGGAGGCCATGTTGAGAATGAATTCTGGGAAAAGCAGAACAACTCTTTGGAATGTTAATGAAGTCCCAGAAAAGCCCAAGGCCCAGAGCCCATCCCAAAGAAATGTTAATGAAGATTACTTCTTTGGCCCACCTGTGCCCCACCCTTCAGGCCTTCCCACCTACATTCCATCACTGAAAGAACTATAAAAAGGGGAAACAGAACTTCCACGGATTCCATCTCTTGGGTCCCCTTCCTCCGGAAGAAGCCTTTTCTGTTTTCCTTTAATAAACTTCTATTTTCCACTCTGACCTTGCCTCGGGTTGCTTCTCTGGTGTTATACTTCAACATTGGGGAAACAAGGACTAGTCACCGGTCAACAGCGGTAACTAAGTAACCAATCACCCCTACCCAACTTGTTCCCTCCAGTGAATGTGCTAATCATGTTTTAGAGTTGTTATTTGATTTCCCGCAGTGTGTGATGATTTGCTAAGAGATGCTATGATGTATGTGGGGGTCCCTGCCTTCTCCAAAGAATATATAAAACTGCTGCAAACCCTGGGCTCGGGACCTCAGCATCACCAGAACAGAGGACGGAGCTAGCTCGCAATAAACACCTCTTTGCTGCTTACATCGATCTTTGTCTCTGGTGGTCTTTTGGGGGTCCCGAGTAAGATTGATCACTTTTTTTTTAAAGAGAGAGTGGGGGGGAGAGAGAGAGCGAGAGAATTTTTAATATTTATTTTTTAGTTCTCGGCGGACACAACATCTTTGTTGGTATGTGGTGCTGAGGATCGAACCCGGGCCGCACGCATGCCAGGCGAGTATGCTACCGCTTGAGCCACATCCCCAGCCCGATTGATCACTTTTTTCTAGAATAATTTGTATCGTAGCATTCTTAAGACTATCCTATAGAAAACGTTGAAATACTTCCTAAATTTTTCAATAATAGCTTCCAGTTCATCCCTAAGAGGTATAATTGAACAAATGTTATTTTCTTCCCTATGTCTTTTTGGGTCAAAGAATTACACATAGATTTAGGGGTCAGCGAGTAGCTACACATCCCTATCAGACCTAGCTTCACACATATCCACACCCACATTAGGAGGTTCCTCAAACCTTTAAGGAAAATGGTGCTAGGAGAATCTTAACATTGTCCATTTTGTGTTTCCCTGGACCCAGCAGAAGGAGCTTGGTGCTCCCTGAGTCATGGAAAGTCTATCTTTACTTTGGTCAGAAGTTTGGAAGTCAACCAAATGTTACAGGAGCATGACCAGAATGATGAAAGTGATAAACTGAGCCAACCAGGTTCTGTCAGGGAATTTATACAAAGGAGAAAGGAGAAAGAATTCAGCATCTAATGTAAGGAGAGATGAAATTGTAAAAGTGGTCCACTCCATGCTCTGCCACTGCAACTTATTTTTAAAACAGATATGTTTCTTTTTCTTCCTCTCTCCCTGTTCCTCCCTAATTTCCTCCTCTCTAATCTCAGGGGAAACAGGATTACCTTTCTTCCCCATTTTAGGCAGATTTATCTGTCCTTGAGACACCACCTTAGGAAGGAAATAATACTTTGGGGATGGTAGCAGAAGATCTCAGATACGACTAATCTCCCAAATTAACAAGTGAATTACACTCCAACAGAGAACACCTAGAATGTCGCCTTTGAATCACCTTTTGGAAAAGCTCGAATTTCCCCCCCCTGGAGAGAATCACAGCCTCTGGGACAGCAGTCCCCCCTTGCTTCTTTTTTGCTAGCAAAGCAATAAAACGTCTTTTTCCTTTTTCTCAAAATTTTTCTCGTTATTAGATTGGCATTGGGGACAAGAGCCAAGATTTCGATAACAACCAGAGCTGCTATTAGAAAATACCCAAACTCAAGGAAGCCTGGCCATGAAGTCGAAGTCCTTCTTGCTTTCATATTATCCTGGAAACAAATACATCAGCTTCCTTAAGGAAAGCTGAGGGAAGAGTGGCTCTTACACCCAAATGCACTTGCCCATCTATCTAGTCTAGAGAAACAGACTGGAGGTAAAAAAAATGTCATACTCCTGCATATTTTAGTATTGTATTCTTAAATAACTTTAAACCAGTGGTTCTCCAACTTGATCATGCATTAGAATCACCTGGAGGTCTTAAACCACTGGCAGCTAAGCCCCACTCCTGGAATTTCTAATTTAGTAGGCCTGGAATGGAGACAGGGAATTTATACTTCTAGAAAGTGCATGAGTGAGGTTGAGGTTTGGCTAGTCTAAAAAACACCCATGAAAATCAGGGTTTAACATCGGCCATCTCAGCCTTGGATGCATATTGGAATCATCTGTGCAACACCAAAAGAAAAAGAAAAAAAACACTTTAAACTGGGCCTCATGCCCAGATATTTAATTTAATTGGTCTGAAGTTTGGTCTGAGCATTGGGAAGCCATCTCCATTCTGGCTATAGTGTGGGGATCACTCACAATTCAAGTTGGTTACTGTGATGGTTAATTTCATGTGTCAACTTGGTTAGGCCATGATAACCATTTTTGACCAAATATTATTCTAGATGTTGCTTTTTGAGAAAATATTTTTTATTGAAGCTGTTATTAACACTTATGCCAGCAGACTTCAAGTAGAGCAGATCATAAACACACGTGCACAAACACCAAGACACACAGATACACACATCCAATTTAATCTGCTTCTCTGAAGAACCTTGACTAATACAG